AAAGTCAGCAACAAAAATGAATCACTGGTTGCTGGAAAATATGGTTAGTAACAGAAATGATGCTGAAGATCACATGACAGAATTTTGCAAGACCACAACTTATTTACTGCAAACACCTTTTTTAAATACATGTGGACCTCACCAGATAGAATACACAGAAATCAAATTGACTATATCTGTGGAAAGAGACAATGGAGAAGCTCAGTAGTATCTTCAGTCAAAACAAGGTCAGGAGCTGATTGTGGAACAGATCATCTACTGCTCATATGGAAGTTCAAGTTGAAGCTGAAGAATATTAAAGTAAGCCCACAAGAGCCAAACTATGACCTTGAATATATTTTACCTGAATTTATAGACCATCTGAAGAACAGATTTAATGCACTGAACACCACTGTCCAAAAACCAGATGAATTGTGGGATGACATCAAGAACATCACACTTGAAGAAAGCAAATGGTCTTTAAAAAGGCAGGAAAGGAAGAAAAGAGCAAAATGGATGTCAGAAGGACTCTGAAACTTGATCTCGAATGGAAAGTAGCAAAGCAAATGGAAAAAATAATGAGATAAAAGAGATGAACAGAGGATTTCAAAGCGCAGCTCAAGAAGACAAGGTAAAGTATTATAATGAAATGTGCAAAGATCTGCAGTTAGAAAATCAAAAGGGAAGAACACTCTTGGCATGTCTCAAAGAACTGAAGAAAAAACTCAAACCTTGAGTTGCGATATTGAAAGTTTCTATGGGCAAAATATTAAATGATGCAGGAAGCATCAAAAGAAGATGAAAGTAATACAACTATTACAGGAGGGAGCATATGATCAAGAACCAATGGTACTGAAAGAAGCTGAAGCTGCACTGAAGGAACTGGCTAAAAACAGGGGTCCAGGAATTGATGGAATACTCACTGAGATATTTCAGCAAAGTGATGCAGAACTGGAGATGCTTACTTGCTGTGGTGTAATAAATTACATAACATGGCTTTTCTAGCCATAAGTTTTTGTAAACTCCATGGTAGAATTTGCCATGAGAAACTGAGTAGCTCCTGATTACTAAAGTTATCTACCTGGGGTATTTCTGTTGAACCAGCATGAAGCAATCTTCTGGGAAGTTCACTCTCTCTCAGGTGTATAGAATTCTGATGTTGGGATTGGTTAGTGGTCACTCTGCCAGGCTCAAAAGGAGCCCTTCTAAAGGCAGAAGAAGTCTCTCTGACTGCCGGCTGAGAAAGATATGCTGCTGAGAGAAATGTGCTCCTGAGAGACACACACTGCTGAGAAAGAGACACCAAGAGACAGGCATTGTTAAAAGAGAGACACCAAGAGACACACACTGCTGGGAGAGGGGCTGAGAGACTGTTGGTTGAGAGACGGTAGGCTCAGAGAGACTGAGCATTCTTCCTAAACTTGAATTGTAGCCTGTTGCTTCCCTAATAAACCCCATAATCTGTGAGTTCTGTGTGGCTACTGCAACAAATTATCAAATCCAGCAGAAAGGTGGTAGGTGCTGTGGGAGGAACAGTTGGTGTTAGGATTGATGAAAGGGCTAGAGGGAGGCAGCATGTCTGGCCTCACAGGAATAGGCCTTGGGCTATTGATCGTGATTCTGTCTTCCTCTTGTAGGGTTAGAGGAGGTCAGAAGATGTAGCCTCCTTGCCCCTTTGGCACTTGCCTATGCCAAGGAATCTGAAAGACAGCCACTTGGCCAACTAGCTGGAAAAGATCGCTATCTGTGGCCATTCCAAAGAAAGGTGATGCAACAGAATGTGGAAATTACTGAACAATATCATTAATATCACATGCAAGTAAAATTTTGCTGAAGATAATTCAAAAACTACGGCAGCGGTATATTGATCGGAAACTTCCAGAAATTCAAGCCGGGTTCAGAAGAGGATGTAGAACAAGGGATATCATTGCTGATGTCCGATGGATACTATAAACTGCCAGAAGAACAAACAAATCTATCCTGGAAGAAGTGCAGCCAGAATGCCCCTTGGAAGCAAGAATGGCCAGACTTGTATCATTCACTTTGGTAACATGGTCAAAAGGGCTCACTCCCTGGAAAAGGATATCATGCTTGGTAAAGTAGAACGTAAGTGAAAAAGGGGAAGACCCTCCATAAGATGCAGTGACACAGTGGCTGCAATGATGAGCTCAACTATAGCAAGCATTGTGAGGATGGTACACGACTGGGCAGTGTTTCAATTCTGTTGTACACAAGGTCGCTATGAGTTAGAGTAGACTTTACAGCACAATAAAACAATAAATAAATAAATAAAAATAGTTACAATAAAACAACATTCATAAATGGGAAAATGCAGCTATATAGGATTGGATTAACTAAGAAATAACAAAACCAACAACCACTGCTGCAGGTTGATGCCCCCTTGTGGCACTCCCACGTATTTCAGAGTAGAACTGCACTCCACATGGTTTTCTTGGCAACAATATTTACAACAGCAGATCGCCGGGCCTTTCCTCTCCAAGACCACTGGCAAATCAGAACTGTCAACCTGCAGATTAGTAGTCGAGCACAAATTGTGCTAAATAGGTCCTTTTAAATGCTGTGTTGCTGTTGCAGGCTGGTGAGTTGATTTTCAACTCGTAGCAATCCTATGTGACAGAACAGAATTGCCCCATAGTGTTATCTAGGCTTTACAACACTAGAAGCAGTTGGGTGGGTTGCAATCACCACCAACCTTTTGGCCAGTATTGAGAGCTTAACTATTTGTACCACCCATACAAATATTAAAAATTTGGCTACTATCACTGAATTGCCTAGAGAATTAAGATTGCCAAAACACAGAATAAAATATATATGCTGATAACCCTGAGCAGAACTACGTATTCCTTCATACATTAAATAAACATTTATTGAGCATTACTATGTATGTTTTAGCTTTAATGTCTGTTGTTGGTTGAACTGTGTCCCCTAAAAAGACATGTTAAAGTCCTACCCCCAGTACCTATGAATATGATCTTATTTGGAAACAGGGGTCTTGCCAGACATAATAAAGTTAAGATAAAGTCAAGCTACATTAGGGTATGCCCTAAATTTAACAGCTGGTGTTTTTAAAGGAGAGATGATCCAGAGACACAAAGGAGACACACAAGGGAGAACACCACATGATGACTGAGGCAGAGACTGGAATGATGCACCAAGGATTGCCAGTAACCACCTAAAGCTAAAAAAAGGAAGGATTTCTTCCTTAGAAACTTCTGAGGAAGCATGGCCCTTGACACACTGATTCCAGCATTTTCCACAACTGTGAGTACCACTCAGTTCGTATGGCAACCCTAGGAAACTAAAACAATATCCAAATAAATCTTTTTAACAAATGAAATACTGGAAGGGGAGGAAAGATACTAACAATTCATAGTAACAACTCTCATTTAGGAGCTCTGGTGGCACAGTACCTAAAGCATTTGACTGCTAACCAGAAGGCTAGTGGTTCAAACCCACCAGGCACTCCTCAGAAGGAAGACTGGGCAATCTACTTCCATAGAGATACTGTCTCAGAAACCCAAGGAGGGGTTGCCATGGGTCAGAACTGACTCGACAGCAGTGAGTTTGGTTTTTTTAACTTTCATTTTCGTTGTTTACTTCTAAGCTATTACAGACAGAATTCATTAAATCCTTTCCACATTATCATAAAAGTGCTGACCTGTAAAGTTATGGAAACTTAGCCACAGCCAACCACCCTGAGGGAGTGAGCTGTTGGACTTGTGGGCTCAGGACCATCATCACAGGGGACATCAAGCTCAAATGGCATAAAATACCACAAAAAAAAAAAAATTTTTTTTCTACATCCTACTTTGGTGAATAGGAGCTCTGGCAGCATAGTGCCTAAGGCACTTGACTGTTAACCAGAAGGCTGGCAGTTCAAACTCACCAGCCACTCCTCAGAAGGAAGGTTGGGCAATCTACTACCCAACAGAAGCAGTTGGGTGGGTTGAAATCACCACCATCACCACCGAGTGATACTGCCTCGGAAACCCAAAGAGGGGTCGCTATGAGTCGGGGCCGACTCGACGGCATATAACAACAACAACAACTTTGGTGAATAGTGACTGGGGTCTTAATAGCTTCCAACTGCATGGGAGGGAAGGACACAGAGAAGAAATGGCTATGGGGAGGAAGTGGGAGGAGAGCTGTTGCATTGTGGGAGACTGCAGTCAATGTCACGAGACAGTGTCTGTGAACTGCTGTATGGGGCTCTGTAAAACTTTCACCCAAATCACAATAAAATTTTTAAAAAAAAAAAAAGCTTGCAAGTGGCCATCTATCTGCAACAATTGTTCTCTCCTAGTCTGGAGCAAAGAAGAATGAAGAAAACCAAAGACACATGGGAACAACTAGTCCAAGGTACTAGTGGACCATGGAAACCTCAGCCTACATAATCATGAGACCAGAAGAACTAGATGGTGCCCAGCTACCACTGTCAACTGCTTGGAAAGGGATCAGTGCCAGAGATCCCGGTTAGAGTAGGAGAAAAATGTGGAACAAAACTCAAAATCACAAAAAAGACCAGGCTAACTGTTCTGATAAGAGACGGCGGGCTGAGAGAGACTGAGCATTCTTCCTGAACTTGAATTGTAGCCTGTTGCTTCCCTAATAAACCCCATAATCTGTGAGTTCTGTGTGAATCTCTGAGACTATGGCCCCTAGTCACCCTTAGGACTAGAATTGAACTTACTCCCATGGCTTCCAGTCAAACAACAGACATGCATATAAGGTGAACATTTACACTAGGTAAGTCCACTCCTTACAATAATCAATCATGGGAGATCGGAAAGGCAGTATTTACACAGAGTGATAGCTCAGAGGGCAGGAAAGCATAGGACAGGAGGACACAAGGTGACCACAGGGAGGAAGTGGGAAAAGAGCTATTATATTATGGTGATTGCAATCAATGTCATGAAACAAAACGTATATGAACTGGTGTACAGAAAATGAATTTTCTCTGTAAACTTTCACCCAAATCACACACACACACAAAAGCTTACCTGCCAGTAACAAACTGTAAGAGAAGAACTCTCTCCTCTTGAGTAATATCTTCTACAACTTCCCAGAACCACTAACCAAAAAAAAAAAAAAAATCCCTTAGCTCATATTTCAGAGCAATTGTAGATTTTTTTAATACCAGAGAAATATGCAATATTCATAAAGCATTTTTATCCTATGAAACTCATTTATCAGAAATGATTTCTTACAAAGCTTTCATCTGAAATATTCCCATAATAATAATTTAGGGAAAATACTTTACTTTGTTAATTAATGTAGGTTTTCATCCAATAGTGCTGCAAAGCTTACAAAATTAAATGGCAAAATTTAACTTCATTCTAAGCTCTAGAGATTTTTACCTGAATAACTGGGTCTTCTCTTTCATAGCCACTTGTGTATTCTGTATTTTTTATCCAATCACTCACATCAATTTCTGGCATGCCAGAAAGCAGTAATTCCTTTGGGGAAGAAGAAAAGTATTCATTAATCTTCGGGAAAAAAAAAGTTATTACATTTAAATAGTGAATCTGCCTTAATTAGAAACAAATTCCATGTAAAACTGATTTATTTTTGTGACAGTTTCTGTATGTCATTAATAACAAGCACTACATGGAACAGAATCCTTAATACTAATGATCTCAAATATTGTGAGGTATCTCTACACTTATACAACTTAATTAGAACATAAGAAGAGAGGCTAGTTTATGTATAATAGTCTATATGTTCAACAATTACAGGAACATAGTTGTATTTAAGGAATTCTGATGGCATAGTGCCTAAGGCCTTTGATTGCTAACCAGAAGGTTGGTGGTTCAAAGCAACCAACCACTCTGAGGAAGGAAGATGAAGCAATCTACTTCTGTAAAGATTTACCTCCTTGGAAATCCAATGGGGGTTGCTGAGTTGGAATCGACTCGATGGCAGTAAGTTTGGTTATACTTATAATTCTTTGTAAATCTGTTAAATTCTTTAAGTAAAGATAAAGAAAGTATTCTCAACATGAAAGTGAAAACAAAGACCTGTATAAACACTGGGGTAAACACAGGAAAGTTTGTCAAGAAACCCTTAAAAAGGAGGCAATACAATAAATATAATTATTTAAAAAAAAATAATTTAGTCCTATAAGGAACTCTATTTTGGAATAATTTGGATTCTTTTAGGTTAACTTCTGCAAAGATGAGGAAAAAAAATGCAATTTTCCTAATAACTTTCAGTAGCCTTCTTTTTTCCCTGGAAGATCATCAAAGAAAAAGCTCAATCAAATGAAATGAAGAATGGCAAAAATATCTACCATCATGTTTTCCAAGGGAACACAGAAAATAAAAGGAACTTGTTCAGATCTCCGAATCAGTCTATATTTCACAGTTGGATGTGCTTACATGGTCAAGTGAGGCCATGATTGGCCTACACTACTTACTGAACACTGACAACCCAAAAGATCATGATTTATTGTTACAGGGAGGCAAATACAATATGAATATGGCTCAAAACCATGTCTTCTACAGCAATAACTCCCAACATACACCTGGTTAGTATAGAGTATGTTTTGAATAAAATTAATATAAGGTAGTCTCTAAGAATTCCTGGGGGTCTGAGATCTTTCCAGGGGGTCCATGAGTACATAGTGTGGCCTTTCTAGCCATAGGTCTTTGTAAACTCCATGGTGGAATTTGCTGTGAGCAACAGAGTAGCTGCTGATTGTTAAAGTTAGCCACATGGGGTATTTCTTTTGGGAGCAGCCAAAGTAATTTTCTGGGAAGTTCATTCTCTCTTAGTTGTTTAGAATTCTGATGTTGGGATTGGTTAGTTTGGTCACTCTGCCAGACTCAAAAGGAACCCTCCTAGAGGCAGAAGGAATCTCTGACTGCTGGCTGAGGGATGTGAGAGACATGCATTGCTGAGAGAGAGACGCGAGAGACACACATTGCCAAGAAAGTGAGAGACACGCACTGCCGAGAGAGACACACCAACAGGCACTGCTGGGAGAGAGACTGAGAGAGACTGTTGGCTGAGAGATGGCGGACTGAAAGAGACTGAGCATTTTTCCTGAACTTGAATTGTAGCCTGGTGCTTTCCTAATAAACCCCATAACCTGTGAGTTGTGTGTGGCCACTGCAGCGAATTATTGAACCCAGAGAAAGGTGGTGGGTGCTGCGGGAGGAATGGTCAGTGTCAGAGTTGATGAAAGGACTGGAGGGAGGCAGCATGTCTGGCTTTGCAGGGATAGGCCTTGGGCTACTGATGGTGATTCTGTCTTCCTCTTGTTGGGTTAGAGGAGGTCAGAAGATAATGGCCTCCTTGCCCCTTTGGCAATGAGGTTCTCATTCCAAGATATGTGAATTTTTACCATATCCTTCAACCAGAACATATCACACAGGCTATATGCAGAAGCAATCAAGTTGCTTTCTACTATGCTACTATTTCTACATTAAAGAGATTTGCGATAGTGTAAAACAATGTCATTCTTTCCTCTATTGTTTTGTTTTGGAAAACGTAGTTATTTCTCATTTGAAAAAATGTTATTTATGGTACCATGTAATCAGTTGTTATTTTATATGAATTAATAAAATGTTTTAAATAACTGGCTTCATTTATAATGCAGTAAATGTTAATTTATTAAAAATTTATATTGTTTAATCCACATAAACAAAAAGTTTTGTTGAAAGGGCTCCTGAAACCAAAAAGGTTGAGAACTGCTGCTATACTATAGGTTTCTGTCCCGTATCACAGCATTATAAAATACTTTTATTAGATGAAAATGTTCTGGTTAGTCTCCATTTACTATCCCCAAATACATTCTTCATCTACCTTTGCACTGTTCTATGCCTTAGAACTCACTGTCATGGGAGCTCTGGTGGCATAGTGCCTAACGCATTTGACTGCTAACCAGAAGGCTAGTGATTCAAACCTACCAGACACTCCTCAGAAGGAAGGTTGTGCAATCTATTTCTGTAGTGATACCACCTTGGAAACCCAAGGAGGGGTTGCTATGGGTCGGATCCGAATCAACGGCACGTAACAGTAACAACAATGCCCAGGAGGAGAATGATCTCTACAAACTGGTTCCCTCGCCTGCTTGTGTCACACTGGGCTCCACCACTGGGAAACACAAGCAAAGTCTGGAGGTGAGGTATTCTCTGCTCCCTCCCTGAGAACATCTTTGCAGACACCTTGTCTCCTCCCTCCACTGTAGCACCTACCAAGTGGCCTCTCTTCAGTAGTCCGAGTGCTCATTGAGCTCCTAATAGCAATTCCTGTCTATTCAGTTCTAGGGAAGGCAAAGCTTCCAACTAGTCTGGATTCCTCACCATACCCGGTTTATTCTTAACATTGCCCATACTTTTGTACCAGTCTCTTTGTTAAAGTTCTTTCTTTGAACCATCTGGGGAGAATTCTGTTCCCTGGCAAAACTCTGATACAGATCTGTAAAATGGAATGAAGCTGAATTTTATTCATTTCTTAAATTCACGAGTTTAATCCTTCTTTCTAGGCTGAAGATAAATCTTTAACAATATTAAGTAGGCTTTCATTGTTCATAATTATGAATAAAAATGACTGATACAATGTTCTCTCAAGGAATTTGAAGCATTCATGAATATTTTATTATTTGTTATGGTATTTTGTGAAGAGAGAAAAAGATCTTATCCCATTCAACACCTGGGCCAAAAAAAAAAAAAAAAAAAAAGGAGGGGAGGCTGGTTATTAAATTGGCTGAAAACAAATAGACTGAAATGAGACTTCCAAAATAAAAAGTACCTATAAGAAAAAGATTTTATTTTCTTCACAGAACACCTACCCCAGGGAGTTGCACCCACTTTGCCTAAGGCACTTGACTGCTAACCAGAAGGCTGACAGTTCAAACCCAAGAGCCACTCCTTGGAAGGAAGGTTGGGCAATCTACTTCCATAGTGATACTGCCACGGGAGCTCTGGTGGCATAGTGCCTAAGGCATTTGACTGCTAACCAGAAGGCTAGTGATTCAAACCTACCAGACACTCCTCAGAAGGAAGGTTGTGCAATCTACTTCTGTAGTGATACCACCTCGGAAACCCAAGGAGGGGTTGCTATGAGTCAGTCCGACTCCACATAACAACCACCACCACCATCCTAGGGAGATGCACGCCCTAGATCAATCAACCATGAGACATCAGAAAGGCCACATTTACATAAGGGAAAGCTGGAGAGACAGGAATGCATGGATAAGAAGGGCATAGGGAAGGAACAATCACCGGTAGGAGATGGGAGGAGAGATTTTTATGGTTGAGGATTGTAATCAGGGCTGTGAAAAAAAAAAAAAGATTTTAAGCTCCATCAATAATTAACTTATTTTTAAAATATGTCCAGAAAATTGAAATAGTCTGTCAAAATCTAGTATAACATACATAACCCATATTGATGTCAGAATTGATAAACTAAATTCTGTTAAAAAATAAATATTTTATTTAATAAAGGATACCACAGAAAAGACATTTGTAATATATAATTCTGAGAAAAGATTTACATTACGAATATATTCTAAAAATTCCTATAAAATAATAAAAAACACAATAAAAAATGCCACATTACTTGAACAGACACTACATAAAGACAATACACAATATATAAAAGGTGTTCAATGCTATTAGTCATCAGGGAAATGCAAATTAAAATCACAGTGAAATACCACTACTAATCTACCAAATGTCTTACATAAAAAAGATGAAAAATGTTAAATGCTAGTGAGGATGTGTAACACCCAGAATTCTCATCTCTGCTGGTGGGAGTGTAAACTGACACACTGTTCTGGTTACCCAGTGCCACTCTGACAAGAATATACCACAAATGGGATGGCCTTAACAAACAGGAGTTTATTCTTATAATTTGGAGCCTTTAGGTCCAAGGTCAAAGTGCCAGGCTCTAGGGGTTGGGTGAAAGCCCCTCAACTTTGGGGTCCAGCTCTGCCTCCGGCTCCCAGCCTGCTGGAGTTAGTAGCATTTCTTCACTCAGACAGCTGCAGGCTGCTGAGGCTGAGAAGCCCCCAGGTTGACAAGTAAAAAGGCACAGTCCCAATGTTACCAAACCACACAGCAGGCCATTAACTAGGTCCGCTGTAAGTCCCAAGGTTGGCAGAGAATAACATGCTGCTGAGCAACGATATGGCTACATGCAGGGTCCAAGTGTGCCATAGACTAGAGACCATTCCCAAAGCTTCTCCTTATATACAGGAAACAGACCACATCCCAAAGGCACTAACTCACCTGCTTGTAGTAGATCCCACCATGGAGTTGATTACCAGTCTCATCATAGGGAATAACTATCACCAGCTGCCCAGCCACTCAACCAGGCCCAGCCAAGTTGACACACAAACATAACCATCACACACACCATTTTGGAAAACTATTTGGTAGTATCTACTAAAGCAGAACACATGCACATATGTACATGCTACATCCCAGGAATTCCACTCCAAGGTACATGT